GGTATAGTTTTAGCTACAATGGGGATATTGAGTGTTACTAAAGTAAACCAATATTCATTCAACTCACTTCATGCCCTGTATTGTGCAAGGTATTGAGGATTCACAGGGAATGAGAAATTGTTCTTGCTATGACAGCTTACAATTTTCATTTACAATTTAATGTGGACAAAGAAGACTTGTAAGAGGTGGTGATATACGGAAAACTAGGGTAAGGGGAGGTGGATATTGGTCCCAGTTTTTTTTTAAATTTATTTTGGTACCAGGAATTGAAATCAAGGCCTCTTGCTTGCCAGGCAGGCGCTGTGCCTCTGGGCTACATTCCCAGCCCTGGCCCATTTTAGATGGAGACCCCAGGTTGAAGACAAGCAGTAAGATAAGAAACAGCAAACATATAAGCCGTGAGGGAAAGGGCAGGAAATGAGCAGGGTCCACTCCTATAAGTTTAGACTCTCTCCTGGAGGTGAAGTAAAAACTACAGAATAATCTTAAGTCTTTGAGAACTTTGATGTCTTACTCTAACAGCAGGCAGGAGGATGAAGGTAAGAGTGGTTAGGATGAAGGCAGAACAACTAGTTAGGGTGCTGAAAGGGGAGTGCATAAGGGAAGTGATGGGAGGAAAAGAGGCAATTAAATCACATATTTATTAATATCTGCTGATTTCTTAGCAGTGGGAAGGAGAACCAAGGATGGGTAATGGGGTGTGTAAAGGTACATTCAACTGAGATAGAGAATATAAATTTGGAAGGCATTTCTCAGATTTGGGGGATATAAAGAGTGGGACAGGAAGCTGAGTTCTGTTTAGACACATTGAGGGCCGGGGATTTAGCTCAGTGGTTCCAGCGCCTTCCTCGCAAGCACAAGGTCCTGAGTTCAATCCCCGGTACCAAAAAAAAAAATAAACACATTGAATTTAAGGTGACAGTGGGCCATAAAGTGAAAAGGTTCAGGTAAAAGCCTGAGTGGAGCCTGCTACAGAGATATACATTTGGGAGACATCAGATAATTGAAATCATGAGATGAGATCATTTAGGGAGAGGAAAGAATAGGAAGAGTAGAGAACAAAACGCTGGAGATCACTGGTATTTAAGAGGCAAGAAAGGAAGACAAGCCCATTGAATGAGATGGTTAAGAAATAGTCTGAAAAAGGGCTGGGGATTTAGCTCAGTGGTTCCTCTGCCTGCCTCGCAAGCGAAAGGTCCCGAGTTCGATCCCCAGTACAAAAAAAAAAAAAGTCTGAAAAGTACAAGGAGAATCAGGAGATTAAAGTGTTTGGCTGGAAAAGCATTTTCTTCTAATCAGAATGTGAACACCTTTAGGTTAGAAATATACTTTCCAGTTCAACTAAGGTCCCATCACTGTTTAGGCTGCACTGTCTTCTGTGACTTGTCTTACTTACTTCTGAAGGCCTGTATGTCTGTGAACCCTGGAGTAGAAGTCTTCAAGCAAAAAGGAGTCATACATGTCAAATGTAGCAGGGAGGACAGAAAGACAGGGAATAAAAAATGTCCATTGACTTAGCAAAAAAGAGGGTAATAGTGAGCTCAAACTGAGGTCAAGTCCTCCATGGCGGAGCTTGAAGAATCTAGATCAGAGGAAATAAATATGGTTAGCATAGCTACTCTTACAAAATTCGGAGGACAAGGAAAATAAATTAGATAATAGCTAAAGGGAATGTACGTATTGGAAGGCTATTGTCTTATTTCATTTTTTAAAAATCAGAAAGATTGAATACATCTATAGTGTGAGCTAGTCGAGAGGTAGAGAGAGGTACTACTGGAGAGGAAAGGGCTGCCTGATGGGCAAGATCTATGAGGAGGCTGGAAGAGAAGGGTGTGGAAGATACAAAAGGAGGGGTAAGCTTTGGATAAGTGGAGGGACTCCTTGAACTCTGAGGAGTTCCTATGCTGAGGAAGATAGCATAGAAATTTAGATCTAATAAAGATCCAGTGCAGGTTAGCAGCAGGAAAGTGACATGATTAAGCTATATTTTAAGAAAATCAGTTTGGCACAAGCATACAGGATGGACAGGAGTGGGGAGAGGCAACAAACTGGTAATAATTCAAGCAGAAGATGATGGCAACCCAAACCAGAGGAGTACCAAATAGGAATGAAGAATATGAAAAAAAAAATCTAAGAGATGTTTCAAAAGATATGATGACACAGCTCTAGGAAAGATGGGCATAAGGTAATTCAAGGTGAAGGAAGAGTCAAAATAATTCAAAGATTTTAAATATTAACCTGAGAGATAGATCAGAATGGTGGTACAAGGGTCAAAAACAGAGCAACTAGAAATACAGCCATTGCAGAAAGGAAAAAAACTGTTGAGTTTAAGATATACTGAGTTTGAATCAGGTTAAACATATTTATCACCTGAAACATCTATCACTTCTTCATAGTGAAAACCTTCAAAATATTTTCTTTGAGCTTTCTGAAATGTATATGACAACTGGTCATGGCTCTCACATTTTGAACTGACAAAAACTGTAGTCCTCTACAGAATAAACATTGCACAGAGAATACAAAAAAATCAGGGTTGAGAGAGGATAAGAAATCTTTCATTCAGATAGGGGTAGAGCTGGTGATGTAGCTCAGTGATAAGAGTGCTTTCCTAGCACATGCAAGGCCCTAGTTTCAGTCTCCAGCATCACAGAAAAACAAAAACAAAAACAGGGCATACAGTTTAGGGAAACTCAAACACTCCTACGCCAGAAAAAATTAAACGGAAGTTGATATTTTATTGTTGCTGTTGCTGTTATGTTTGCAGTGCTGAAGATTTCCTAAGAATATTACTTCACCTGATTTAAGGAAGGCTTTACTACCATAGCCCATTTCTCAGATTCAGCAAAACTTTCTCCTACATTTTTAACCGTTTTTTTCTCCTTTTGGCTACCAGGGATAGAACTCAGGACCTTGCACTTGCAAGGCAAGTGTGGTGCCACTGGTGTAAATCCCCGGCCCCTAAATTTTTAATCTTTTCTTCAAATTCCACACATTTAATATCAAATGTGTTTTCTAGGTGAAAGAATGTGTACAATAAAACTAAATAAGTTTTTAAACTTTATACATTCTCTAGTGATCCAAGAACTGGCTGGTGCTTTCACAGTCTTGGCTTCAGTCAATTTAACAGTTACCACCGGCACCACCACTTCAGAATTCTAACACTGGGAAGGACATTACACCTCTCACAAAGGCCTGGGCATACCAACTGTCAGTGCTCTGCTTTTAATGAAGAAAATAAGTTGGTAAGTACTTCACCATGGTTATATGGAAAGTAGAATGGGGCCCCAAATAAATTTCAGGGAACTTAAATTCTGTTTCCTTGCTCCTTCCCTGTCTGAATTTTATAAAATAACAGGTGGAGATGGAATGCTGGAGAATAAAATTATGGGCTGGAATAAGATACCTTTGCTCTGGTTATGTAAAATAACATGCATGAAAGGAACCTTCCCTGGAGAATCAATTACAGTAGTTTGAGTAATAAATTGCCTCCCCCTAGCTAAAGAAATAGATGTAAAAAAGCATGGTAAGCTGGCATCTGAATATTGTAGGCTATCTGCAAAATTCTTGGACAAAGGAAAATTTTGTTAAGATTCCCTAGTCAAAAAGCAGGTCTAAGAGCCTCCCTAAATCCTTCTACAATTTCAAAATCTTTGTTAATACATTTTATGCAAAGATTACAAAAATGTATTACAGTCAAAATACTCGACATGTTAAAAAATATTAAAAGCTAATACGATGGAGCAGGTAATACATACTAGATGGTTTCATATAATATAAACTCAACTGAAAGTCAGAGGTTATAGTTTGAGCCATCATCAAAATTATAGGCAATATAATAGGAAAGCACAGGGCTACTTTGAAAGTACAGTAAAGCCCAGTTAAGAGAATGAACATAACGGAATACTCACACTTCCAAATATTTATAATTCAAGAAAATAAAAACAAGGAAGCACAGAGAAATACCAATTTTTCTTCTTCCTTTGCAACCAATCTTATAAAGTCCCCCCACCACCATTTTATTTTCTTAAATATGATCCGTGATTTCAATTTGTTAAAAAAAAAAAAAAGCTACCCTGGATAAATTTTCAAGAAATCATCCTCAGCTCCTGGAAGACTAATTTCCATATATATTTAATTTTTGTAAATTTAGTATTTGGGCATACAAAATCCCCCGGAAGTATCTTAAATTATCTCAGAGCTGCAAGGTTTTAGAAACCATGTATATGTATCAATTTTCCAAGATGAATATAATTATTATGTATCAAAAACATATACCAATTACATTTTAAAAAATCTACTCCAAACCTTCGTTTTACAGATGGAGAAACCAGGGCCCTGAAATAGGAAGCAACCCACCAAGGTCACAGGGCCAGAAAGAAGCAACACTGACTAGCACCAGAGACCCCTGAAACTACAGTACTTATCAATCTGAACCTCTAATGGTATAATATTTAAGTAACGTCAGAGTGAGTGGTATTCTAAATAGGGAAAGGATGATTGTATTCATTCATATAAGGATTATTAGATAGGAAGACTGAATGGATGAATATGTGGGTGGATGGATATTTATAACATTCACAAAACATATCTCTGTTTTGAAAAATCCAAGCCTAGTTCTTGTCACATGTCACAGCAGTCGCTGTTTTCCACTAGACACTAATCTTGGTAGTAAAGAATAGTCTCGCACATCCTGCAGTTTAGAGACTATTCACTTGCCAGCATACATACAAAAAAAGGAGATTCACCCTCACCCCAATGCCTCTGTTTCTCAAAGCCCTAACTTCCCTGTCCTATCCCTACTTTAAACCTGCATTTGCTACATGAACACATTGTCCTCACCCTTTACACACCTATTCACTCGGTTTCTCCATTTAGACCAGGTGTCCTTTCCTAACTGCACGCCTCAATCACCCTTCCCCCACTCCATAGCCGCCCCCCCCCTTATTTTCTCTGTCGCCAAATCTCTGCCTTTGCAAACCCCACGGCCCCTTCTCACTTACACAGTGATATGGCCGGCGCCCCGCACCAATACAGGGTCGGGGGCATATCTCCGCAGATGTTCCTCGCTCACTACCCGACGTGGGGGTGGCGCCTCCTCCTCTATCCCTTCTTCTTCGTCTTCCTCCTCCTCTTCCTCCTCCTCCTCATCTTCCTCGTCATCGTCGGGCCCAGACACCGACGACGACGACGACGACGACGACGGCGGCGACGACGACGTTGCTGCTTCTTCCTCCTCCTCCTCCTCCTCCTCCAGTTCCGAGATGGTGTCGAACTCCGCCATGTTGGGCAGCAGGATGCTCATCACGTGACTTCGCGATCGCCGCCACTCTCCTCTAGAAGAGTTTGAACCTGCAGAGGTGCAAGAAGAGGAGGGGGAACGAAATAAAGAGAAAGTAGAGGTGGGAAAGGACCAGACTTGAGGAGATGCGCCTGCGTCTTGGGCAGACGGAGGGGGTTATGTTGGAGGCGGGGACAAGAGGGAGATAGGAGCAAATTCGCTGTACGCTTGCGCAGCTCCAAGGGGAGGGGTCCCTTAGAGGTGAACTCCAGGGAATTATCGAGGTCCGGTCTGCAGGTGCTGATCTTAATACTGTATCCAAGGGATGTACCCTTTAATTTTAGTTCCTATTAACTAAAATGTGGTATTGTTACACTCGGTGCAGGCTGTTAAGGGAAAGCATGTTTTATAAAACTGAGCTTAGAACTTTGCCCTGTGTATCTCAAGGTATATGAATATCGAGTCCTTGTTTGTTCAGTATTACAGTTTATGAGACTTTTGCCTTAGAACTTTGCCACAACCCGGAGAGGCTAAGCATTTTTATTAACATTTTACTTTTAAAAAGGAACTTTCTGTTACTTCTTGTACTATGTAGTATTTATGGAAGGAGGGGGGAAAAGGGAGATAGAAATTCTGTCAAAATGGAAAGAGGCCCCGGACATTTAGGCAAAAGTTGAAAGGACAAAATTTATAGAAGTGATATACTTGGACAAACATACAAATATAGTCAAATCAGCTCATCAATTTTCTTACATATACATTGTGCTGAAAAGGCATGGGTGATTCCAAAGGTAGTTTGTTTTGCTGAACTATAGAGAATTTGGAATTGGACAAGCAGAGAAAAACAATTTATCTACCCATTGTCAGTAAGCACAAGAAACACCATGGTTTCTAAATGATACTTTAGCATTAAGAATAGTAAAATGAGTGGATAGAGAAGAAAGCAGGCCGTGTCATTCTATCTGATGTGCTAAGAATGGGGCAATTTTCCTAATTATTGGAGACAATGAGGCACAAGAACACAAGTTTAATAATTTGAGAGGGTCTCAACCTTGAAACAGCTGAAAAGAATTATAACATTTAAATAATAGTTTTATTTAATTTAATTACTAAAATATATAAGTCAATGATTTTAATAAATTTACACACTTGTGCAAGCATCACTACGAACTAATTTTAGAACTTTTCTATCACACTTAAAGACTCTGCCCCATTTTCAGTCATTTCCATTCTTCTTCAACCCTATATAACTTCTAATCTGTTTTCTCTGTTCCCCCCTCTCCCTCCCCTCACCTCTCCTCTCCCTCCTTCTCTCTCCCTCCCCTGTAGTGAGGACTGAACCCAGGGCCTCACACAGGCAAAGCAGGTATTTTAACATTGAGCTGCAGCAATAGCCCTATATCTCTGTGTTTCTTTAATGGACATTTCAAATAAAATAGATTACAAAAGAAGTGGTCTTTGACATCTAGCTGCATTTGCTTGGCATAATGTTTTTGTGTTTCATTCATGTTGTATCATGTGTTAGTTCTTTGCTTCTTTTAATTAATAAATGGCTTTCCATTGTTATGGTATATCACATTTTGTTTATTCATTTACCTGTTACTTCTACCTTTTGTATATTATGAAAGTACTGCTACTTCTACCTTTTGTATATTATGAAAGTACTACTAGGAACATCCATGTACATGTCTCTGTGTGAAAATATGGTTTCATTTCTCTTTAGATATCTGTAAGTGGAATTTCTGGGCCATACGTTAAGACTATGTTCATCTTATTAAGAAGTTGCAAAACTGTCCAAAATGAGTCTATCAGTTTACAGTCCCACAATCAATGTATGAAAGTTCCATTTTCTCCACATTTTCTTCAACATTTGTTGTCATCTGTCTTCTTGATTATAGCTATTCTTGCAGGTGTGCATTGTGGATTTATTTTACATTTCCCCAGTGACTAATCCTGTTGAGCATCTTTTTTGTGCCCATTGCCCATTTGCATACCTTCTTTGAGGAAATACCTACTTAAACTGATAGTATGTTGTGGATCTGACAGATTCCAGGCTCTAGTGTACAATGGGCAAAAAATTAAAAGTGTACATCCAATGATAAAAGAAAAATGAGCTACATTTCTTAAAGATAATGGGAAGACATGCTCAGGGCAGGTCTGTGCCAGCAGAAACAAAAAAGGTGGCATGAACAGAAAAGTGGTGTCAGGGTAGCAGTAAATTAAGAAATATGCACAGATAAATCAGACTTTCAGATTGTAAAAGATGTGCACCCCAGCCCCAGTACATCTCATTGAGTCTCTGGATGAGATTGACAGGAATGGTTGACAGGTTGGTGAGCCATGTCACCAGCTTCGGGCATGCAGGCCTGTCCCAGCGTTCACTCTGGTCAAATTTGAGATGCAGTACATATGCATGAACCTTTAAGGAAATTCTAGTGGGGAAAAAGTTACTGAAGGTCAGCCCACAAGATCTAACACCCAAGTGCTCTGGCCTGGAGCTGTAGAGATTTCCTGAATCTTTGTTATATTATTTTCTACTTCTCTCAGAACAATGGAAGGAGCACTGGCCCTAGATTATTGCTTAAATTTTAGTGGGTGAAGGGGAGTGGTCCCCCAGCCCCAATTGTACTACTTATATTGAAACTTCTTATCCTATTTTTAAAGTTAAGCTTTTATTGAGGCAATTGTAGATTCATCTGTCCTTGTAAAAAAATGGTAGAGAGGTCCCTCAATATCTTCCAATAGCAACATCTTACCATCTTACATAATTATGATACATTGTCACAAACAAAAAATTGATGCTGATACAATCTCTTATTTGGATTTTCAACCAAATGTACTTATTTGGGAGTGTATGTATGTGTGTATGTGTGTGTGTACGCTCTGTAAAACTTTAAGTGTAGGATATTATGACCACCTTCAAAGTCAAGTTATAGAACAATTACATCACCCCAAAGATCATTTCTGTTAGACTTTTGAACAATCCTCCCCCTCACTTTCTGGGAACCATTAATATGTTTACCATTTATATTGTTGTCATTTCAAGGTTGTTATGTAGATTTTACTGGGTGTAATCTTTTTTTAATTGGTACATTTTATTGGTACATTTTAGGTATACAATTTGTTTACATTTATCATTGGGTGTTTGTACCTGTACATGATATATCTT